TCGGTACAAAATCGTTGGACTGCTAAGGAATTATTTAAGTAATTACTATATTATAAAGTCTCTGACTTTGAGACTTTGGGTACGGCAGTTATAGAGATTTAAGCTCAGAATGTGTAGCTCTATTCATTCTCTAGTCTGTGGTGCACGATGTTAAGCCGCCGACGTAATGACATTGTGCCAGCGCGTCCGTTTTTTCTCTCCATCGCATTTGATGTTATTGTTATTATTTTTCTCTTGTAGCCCATCTAGAGGTCGACGACTTATCTCAGCTTCTGCTAGTTCCTTCATAGAAATATATTCACTAAATATTTTGAATGTTCCTTCTATTTTTTATCGTTGTTAACGAGTGAACATTTGAAGATGATGCAGTGTTATTTATTTATTATTGGTCTTTAACACTGTTAGACCTCATTATAAATTTGTATTTTTAGTTGTGTAAGATTGTATCTGTACATGTAGAGGAGTAATTTTAAAAATAAAGTACGATAATCTTTTCGCCAGTGTTACTCAATTCCAGGATTAAAAATTCTAAAAAGATACTTTTCAGGCTATAAAATTGAGGTTGACAACGGTCAATGAGCTTTTTAAAGTGTAAGGATAACCTTTACATCAACAAAATAAGTGGCCATCGTTGAGCAAAGCGTCTTCTTACACGGAGAAGGTTTGAGTATGAAAGGAAAAACATGCGTAAACAATTTAGTTGTTGCTCTAATCCAAAGTATTTAGGCAAGTCAAACAACACACAACACACACACCACAATATTTTTCTCGGAAACACCATATATACAGGTCGATAATAAAAATTTGTTTACGGCTTATTTATCATTATACTAACCGAAATATTTAATTAAGTACCTACATGGGTGATAAACTAACACTATTTCGTAACGTGTTTGTATCAATAACGTTACACATACCTAAGAAGGTAGGCTGTACCTACTTATTCCATAATTATGTCCAATTTAAATAACCTTCCTGTAGATCTGTTTAATAAGGATACCTTATAATATAATTTTCTCATAGAAATACAGCCAGTTTCCTTGCACTCTGCAGCTTCTTCCAGGATGCAGGATAATTGTTATTGACATGAAATCTCTATTTCAAGGCTTCTTTCAGTGACGTGGTTGTAATTCAGAGAACTTCTGCCAAATATGAGGGTTAAGGGTTATTTAAGGGGGGAAAATCATCGAATGACTTCTCCCGCGTGGGTGATGCGGGAGGGAGTGTTAGACTCTTACTGACTAAAAACCACCCAGTTCCTACTCCTGCACTTCGAGCCGGAGCCCCGGTTACCCGTTAAGTTCTTCGCGGCTCTGAATCGGCATCGGCCCTGTTGGGCCCCATCCGTGGTGGTGTGATGGCTCTTTGAGACGCGGGCGGAACGTGACGCGCCGTACGCTCGGGTAGGGTTAAGGGGTAACATATCCTTCTCTTAAGAGGGAGGCCATTGTTCAATACAAGACAGGTATTACAGAGGGTGACGGTTCTAAAAATTATTACTCTCTTATAAGGTAAATTAACTAACCTTCAGAAATGTTTATAACTATGACGAACGAAAAATAATGAGCATTGAACCACTACCCAATAAGGCTGCATTAATTATTTGTTGCCCATATTTACCCAACTGTAGGTTTATTATTTTTCTTATCACACTTTAAAACACCTAATATTTTGACTTCAAAATTCATTTTTTCCTATATATACTTTATATGGCAATCGTTGTTTGATTATTATAAATAGTACACTTCACATTCGCGAATGTTATATAGTAAATATGAAATAATTCATTCAAATTCACAACGACTTTTCAGGATCGGAAGAATTTTATATTTTTAATTTTAATTTTAGATTAGAAATCTACACTTCAGAACGGTCCGTTAAAATTTCAATTTTGTTTTAAGAACATGTTCGCAAAGTTCCAATTTTAAATCATAACTTATTTAAACGCACATCGTTTGGCGCGTGTAAGCTTGCAAGGTGTTCGATCAGTGCGCATAATTGGCTGGTTCCGATTGTACGGGAGCGCATCCCCCCATCACGAGCCGTCTACGTCATCATTCTATAACCGCATTGTTTGCCTGTGTATCGAACGATCCACTATTTTTCAAGGAAAATGTTTTAACACACAAACTTATATGTCGAAATTGATTTCGATTTAAATTATACATTTACATATCATTCTGCTTTTAGAACTTACAAGTTCTATCTAAATCGCTAAACGCATGACACTAAAGGAACTTTTAAGGCATGTTTCTACAATTTTCTACCTTATGGGAGTGAATTGTAGAAAATCGTTGTACAAAATTAAGAACACAAGGAAGCTATGGACTCGTAACCACGTAGATGTCGTTAAATTATAGCCGTGAATCATAAGAACGCAATCGAAGTAGACCATTACGAAGATATTTCTCAGACAGGAAACAAACCATTACCGATGCAATATCGATCGTTTTATTTAAGTACAATTTTCTTCCATTCAACAATTTGTAATTTATAAGCTATGATGCCTTTGTAATTTTACTAGTCATGGCCTCTGCAACGGTACATGCAATACCGAAGAAGAAAGAAATTTATGAAAGAACGAATGATGAAGACTGAACGCTACGTCTTTAACTCGCATTTAAAATGATATTGCACTAGTTATAACAAGGATCTCATGTAATAGAGACTTGAATATTTCTAAATTACTGAAAAAATCACAACATCCTTTTGAAAAATCAAAGAGCAATTTTCAAATTGCCTTTAAGACCGAAGGACCAAAAACCTGAATCAAAGGACCAATCACCTCATACATAAGTACTGTGAAAAATAATTAACTCTAAGATGCACGAAGCAATCCGACAGTTAGCAACAAGCATTAGAGTTGACATGGGCTGTCGGCGCAGCGGCTAATAACGTGCGTAATGGCAGATCGTCATTAGAGGCGCGCGCGCAGATTGCCGGCACCGCTGATGAAACCCACTGGGATTGCCTTGTAAACGCCTCGAGTATGAAACTGCATTAGGAATCGCTAGATAGGACATTATTTTTAATATTTTTTTGTGATTTTTTTTATTTCAATATCATAAATCGTTAGAATGGTAGTAATTTCATTGCTTGACAACATAGAACAACCCAGTACAGTTCGCTTTAGTTTTATATTGGTGTATTTATGGTAGTTATTAACAACAACAATTAAAAAATATTTCAATAATAGGTATACATATCAATGTTTTTCTCATATTTTTGTTTATAGCTTTCTAGGAATATATTTGTTAATTGCAGAAGCTTGCTATACTCTAACGTTTTTCGACAATTTCACGGATGCCATCAGAAGCAATTTGTGGTTATTTTAATTGATCTCCAATTTAACACTAAATCAATAATGTTGGAAGTATTTTGGATGCTACTTTTTTTTAAATAATACTCTACGTTCGAGGTGCAAATAATAATAAAAATTAATACTTTTGTAGTAATACAATAGTAATGTTACAAAAGACGTGTAAACACAAAATGTGTAGCCATTTAAAAATATACTTTAGCATGCACACATATAATTAAAGTTGCCCTGCCTCGGCAGAGGCTACTGTTTGTCTGGCTAAGTAGTTAACAGTTGTAGCGTGAAGAACAAAGAGTGGTCCTCTCTAAAAAAATTCATAATTTTCTAAGTTTTTATTTTTCCCTAGTGATGATGCATCGTAATTATTCACGTATATAGGTACTATATTCGTGAAAGACATCTAGTGAGGATTCAGGACTGATAGAATTCATTACTTTTTTGCCATATAGGTATATATTAGCCATATTTTCAAGGCACAAAATAATTTACTCATTTACGTTACACAAATTAAAACCCCCAATTTATTTTTCATTTACCGGGTCTGCTAGATTCAGCGGTTTATACACAACAGCTCGTCGGTAAATAAGGCGGCAGTCAGTTAGAGGTTCGTGATTGTGAGCCGCGCATAATGAGCGCGGATATTAATAAATTTAACGCAGGCAACGCCGGGACACTTTACAGTTATTTAGGCCATAATTACGTCAGGAAAATTACCTATCCGTCTACTGTTGTTGTTACATGATTTGCTGCATTATTTTTATGTTGAGTTTGTGATTTATGTTGCGTTTGAGATTAGATTTAGTATAGAGGTGATTTTTGGTATTGTTAATGGTGATTAGGATTTCGTATTAGTGTGATTAATGACTTTAATATCGTTTTCATTCTTGCTCATTTTTATGCTTGAGTTAAATAAAATCGCTATATTTCTATGTAACAAAAAGGTGGATCAAAGATTTTTGTGGGACTATGTTTATTTTGAGATCAGTCATCAAAAGTGTCTTGTATTCTAAATCTGACAAATAATGAACACCGGTCCAGTTGACATTGGGTCAACCAACAGGAAGTATTCAAATACCAAGACTTAAGGAAAAATGTGACCACTCAAGTTACCTAATGCACATATGTATATACATGCACTTTTTTTGATTTGTTGTTGCTAAGCAACGACGTAAACTAAAAATATTTGGAATCAAAAATCCTGTCTGTTGTTTCTTTTCTCTTTTTTTTAAATGTTGCCCTACACTAAGATAGTTTCTTGTGTCGTGGGTGCGTTTAAAAATATACCAGTTCACATTCACATGACACCCATACCCGAAACAACAAATTGTGAATCACACAAAGAGTTTTTCCGTGCGGGAATCGAACCCGCGACTGCCGGTTGCCCAGCCACTGCACCAACCGTGCAGTCAGTCAGTCATTTGTAAATTCACCAATGGTCTTCTGTAGTTTTTTAGGACCTAAGTATAAAAACCTACACCAGGTGTTAATTATTTGTAAGTAGCCGTTGGGCTACACATACCTACAGATTACACATGAAAATAAATCAGTCTGGAAACTGCATTACAAATGAAGAAAAAAAAGCATTGATTATTTGTTTAGTTAGACCTTACTTCATCTCTGCGATTTCCTACATAAATACCAAAATAGGCAGGTAATAAATAGTTAATGAATGTTAACTAACCATCAGGGTACATACCTCCAGCGGGTAGGTTGGCGTTAGTCTTGTACTCTCGTTCCTCATGGGAGAGGGACCGGAGACTCCTCACGGAGGAGGTCTTGTAGTCCATCTCTCGAAGAGCTAGGGATGCGCTGTCACACGTGATCAGGGACCGCTGCAGGCCAAAGGACCTGATTTGGTGCGGCGAAGCATTTGTACCTGTGAAGTCAATTTTAAAAGGAGTTCTTAATATTTATTAATCCATAGTAGGTTTTCTAAAATTCGTAAGAATTCATTTTAATTGATCATTTGCGGAAACATAGGAGATAAACGAAGATATTTCAGTTTATTATTAAGTTTTCTAAAACAATGTTAAAGTTTCAAATATTTTTTTTCCAATGCCGCTATAGAAGGTAGTAAAAGTATAAATTCAATTTAATGCGGTTCAAAATTACTACTTAATTCCCTACCTGTGTCACGCACTAGTAAGGTAAATAATTAAATTAATTTTCTAAACTACCCTAAAAACTATAAGTTTCCGGCGTCCGATCTTCACTTAAACGTCAAAGTGTCAATCACCTATTACCCATTTTTTTTAACCAAAAATTGGCGGACCTTCTGTCGGACCTTTAAAAAGGCACCGCCCTAATTATTTCGGTCTCGTGTTAGAAAAAATACATAGATATAATTAGTTTATGAGTTTACACAATGTAAGATGGTCGTATACCGCAATTATGTAGTGAGCCGACGCAAACAAATGCAGTCAGTTAATTATTATTTGTTGTTGTACAATAATAGGGCGTAGTGATGGGTTGCGGTGTTAGATAACTATCGATATTATTTTATTAATTTACGATAGGCCAGGTTATTAATTTCTGACAGGTACAGTATAATCTGATATGATTCAACAAATATTTACGATAAAGTAAGCGATTCTAAACTTTCACATTTGTTTTGGAATGTGAATATTTCTTATATTTAAGATTGAAAACTATGAGAGTTTAGCGTTTTAGAAAATAAGTGAACAAAGAGCAGTGCTATTTTTTGTTGAATAACGAAAAAAATGAGTTCACAATAATTTCAAATTGAAATCAAGTCCAATTACTAATTATCATTTGCCCGTTAAAGCTGCAAATAAATTGCATTTTATCGATAGTCGATAGTCCGTGTAATGTGGGGGTACAGCGCAATTAGCGAGGGTCACTGCGAAGCGGCTTACGTCCTGCCTACAAATTAAGTCTATTAAGTCAAACTTTTAAGTCCCCCAGCATACGATATCTTCCTTTCTTGTGCACCAGAGTTTTGGAGCTTATTCGCTAAGTACTAGTCTTTTGTGCCCTTTCTACTCTTTGTTTGCTATTGTGTAAGGATTTTTGGTATTTATGCAGCATTTGATAAACATCTGATGATGTTAATGACGTGTTTCTTTCATTTAATTAAGAGGGTTCTTGTTTAGTAGTTTTGTATTTAGCCTATGAAGTTAATATTTATGTTTAGCCGATTCAGTGTAGTTGGAAGACAGGGTAACTGTGGCAATATTGTTTATGAATTGTTGTGATATTTGTAAAAGTAGTTATGAAATGTCCCTGAGCCTGTACCTCGCGTCATGCCGGCAGCAGGCACAAAGGTCCCAGCAGTTGTGTGGTGCGTGAGTGCAACTTATTACTGATATAATTTCACTATTGTTTGCCGCCGGCTCCGCCGCTCCATATGGCGTAACGTGTTTTTTTATATTTTCTTCCAATTTCGTCGATAGTTCGAACTCCTTTTGAGTTCGAGCTCCTTAGTTTCGCGTGACTGACAGGCGGAAGACGATATTTTATGATATTAATTAGATATTGGTGCGTGGTTTAACTTGGGGTGGAGTCGGTTAAGTAAAGGTGTATTAATAATATTGTTCTATGGTAAAGCTTAACTTAGTGGTTGATAGTGTTTAGGGAAATTATCTATATATATATAAAAGAAAGTCGTGTTAGTTACACCACTTATAACTCAACAACGGCAGAATAGATTTGGCTGAAAATTGGTAGGGAGGTAGCTTAGAGCCAGGAGACCGACATAGGGTACCTTTTTACCATTTTTTTTTTTTTACTTTTTACCGAAAATCACGAACGGTGACGGGAAAAAATGGGATTACGCGTACGAAGTCGCGGGCAGAAGCTAGTTACTTATAAAAACTAAGACGATAGAATGTGAAGTGAAAAATTTCAGTTAGGATGCGACGTTATTGTTTCTAATGACTTACATTATAATTAAAATGTAACATACTATCGAATACACAACCTTCACAATACTTGAACATTATGCAACACACACCACAATAAAGTAGGTAAAACCCATACCGATGTGGCATATCAGTGGCGACTCCCGTGGGAAGAAAAGAGTTATCTACATTCGTGATATCGCGGTCGCGCGCCGCTATCACATAATATATGAAAATTACACGATAATAATAGAAACAGTTGACAATATTATATTATTATTTTAATTGTTTATGTTCGCGGTTTACGAAACGCTTCGTATAATAACAAATTGGGCCGGGCTCAGGACACCCGCGATCGAATTATGTTTCATATTAGTTTTTTAATTAATTGGTAACTTGTTATTATGTAAATGTATTTATTTTTGTTTGTTTGTCACGACCGCATTGTTTGTGTCCGTAAACGTGTTGGTTATCAGTAAACGTAGTGGATATACCTGTTTTTATTAATTAAGTTTAATGTAAAAATGACAATTAGTAGAATTCGTTCCGTTATTCAGACTGTTCGTAGAATTGTATTATTATTATGGACTTATTACGTGAATCTTTATTGCTAGAATTTGTCGTTCTATTTAATATATGTTTCCTTGTAAATTAAATCTTGTTTCATAAAATAAAGGTTGAGTTTTAGGAAGCAGAAAATTTTTGTAATGAATACCATTTAAAGAAAGAAAGTTTTAGGCTAAGATCAAACTTTAATACTAACGCCCCAATACTAAAAGGCTACTCAATTTTAAATTGTACTTCAATATCATGCCATCTCTGTCATTTTACCTACAAAGAATAGAAACAGAACTATACTTAAGCGCGACTTAAATTTGAGACGTTTGAGTATTTCAGAGTAAGGTATATACCTGTACATTAACCTGTTGAAAACTGTTGAAACTCATCCCCTAAATTTGTTCACACAAAAGTAATCTCTAAACATTGGAAATAAGGTCTCTAATGTAGTTAGTGGAGAGCGGTCACCGGTGACCGCTTGGGGATATATGGGTGTATATAAATTTTAAATAATAATTATATGATACTTACTAGTTTTGGAGCGTGGCTCCCGAGGTCCATCGACAGTGACTTTGATGGCTTTTTGGTAGGTGCAGACTTGAGGTGGGTTCGTTGATATTGTTATTGTTAACGAGAAGCTCTTCCCTGGAACAAAATTATGAACATTAATAATCACATCTATACATCATCTATAGATTACTGTACTATACATCTATACAGATAAATAAAATTGTAAAGTCCGTGTGTAATATTAATATAACCCATTTTTACTTACTATATGCATACGATGCACATATGAAAATTACATTTTATACAATTTTTGTCTGTTTGTACTGGCTAATCTCTGTAATGGGTTCAGTGGGTGGGTGGTAACTTTCATTGGCAGGTAGCTGCTGTACTAAGGAGTAATTAGGCTATTACTTTGGGAAATTGAAACAAGAAAGTAGTTATGTCCTAAAATTCATATTCGACGCGGATAAAGTCGCAGGCAACATCTAGTAATTATAATATAACTAACTACGTATGATATTGATAAGCCCATCTAATAGTTTACCAATTTTTTTCATTTAAAAGTAGTCGTTAAACATTGGAAATGAGGTCTATAATGAAGGGTCTAAGACAAAGGTGGGTGAGAGACACCGTTGTCCTGTTGGCTTCAATTTGGATAATTTTAGTTATGTGGACGAGAAGTCAGGACATTGTTAAAAAGAAGTAAGATTCTTTGGATAATTGCAATTTGATCGGAGAAGTTCAGCAACTATCGGCTTTTCAACTTATTAGGAATGTTTGTTGCATCTGCAAAAGGTTGTAACTAGTATCTAAACTTCGGTTATCGAGTCCATGTGAACCAGAGATAATCTTACTATGTATATTTATCTTATGTACTACAATATAGAAAACCTGTATCGTATTTTGTTACTAAACTAATCACATAAACATGAACCCAATCACAATGTGGTCAACACAAAAGTACTTTCTCTAATGACGTATATTTATAATCATTTAACACGCAATACAATTATACAATACAATACAACAAATCATAACATCGTTTAGCAGACCACTAATTTACTCGTTTAAACACAATCGGACGTAACGTTCGGACTAGGTTCCATCAAATTAATCAACTTATTAGTCGTTCTGTTTAAATAAATGCTTTATCGAGTTACATAAAATATACTAAAACCAGTATAAACTGACCGTAAAATTTGTGAGTTGATTATACAAAGTAAGATCAAGATAAACTGGATTTCTATAACTCAAGTATAATTTGTAATCGTCTTCTGTACGTTACAGATTAATTGGGTCAAAAGTAACTGTTACAATTCCACTTGATTCATTATAAATAACGTAATGTTTAAGGAAAATATAATTACATAAGTTTATACCAAATAAATAAAACTGCGTTAACGCTTTCAATGCGCGTTTTATATGTGAGAGAGCCATACTTCGGCAAAAATGGGCCGGCTCGACCGGAATGATACCACGGTCTTACAGAAAACCGACGTGAAAAAACGTTTGCGTGATATTTCGTCATGTGAGTAAGGTTACAGGAGGCCCAATTACCCCGCTCTCCAGTCTTCCTAATCCCCGAATCCTCTACAATCCTCAAATCCCCAGTTCCCAAAAGGCCGGTAAAGTATTTGTGACGCCTTCGTGATTCAGGTGTTAGCGCCTGGGTGTTTCAGGTGTCTATGAGCGGCGCCAATTGCTTACTATCAGGTGATCCGTCTGCTCGTTTACCGGCTTATGCCATAAAAAAAACGCTATGAAATTAATATTGACGAGAGTTCCAAGTTCCAAAAGTCGTTAACAGCCGTTTAGGTCACCGATGACCTCCGTTAACGGAGGATTTGCCTTCAACAATTTTTTGTCGGCAGACAACTTTATAAACCATACACATCTTCATCATCATCATCATCACACCAACAGCCTATAAGTGATTACTGCTGAGCAAAGGCTTCTTCTCGCACCGAGAAGGAATGAAATTGCTAAAGTTATTTCAAACTTATAATTAGAGATAATAAGTCCAGGTTTCCTTACGATGGTTTTCTAAGTTTTCTTTCAGCGTATGTAGCACCAACCCATGTAAGATCAAAATGAAATCTTATCCTCTAGTCATATAGTTCATATTACCAAAATCTACTTTATTATGTACATTTATGTACTAGCGCGGAAATGTAGGTACTAATGTGGATCGCGTATGGTGGAAAATGGCGAGCTTTTTGGGCGCCCGATTTGCGGTTACCAGTAATGAATGCACCGATAAATACCGAATAAAATTACTGTTAAAATGAGTGGATTAACATGTCTAATGCAGATAATTCGTGTGTAGAGCTCTCGAATCGGAATAAATGACTGATTCGGACGTGTCCCGGGTGCGTGATTAGATACGTTATAGTTACATATTTGTTTTGTATTCGTAGCTAGGTGAGCTTGGTAAAAGTTGTATAGTGTAGGTAGCAAGGTGCATAGTGCAGTTTCTGAACTCCTATTCTTTAACTTCTATTGAGAATGTATGAATGGCTTTTTTGTAAATATTTGTACCTACCTATTTCAAATTGTCACTTACCTAAAAGTACAAGATTCGGAGGCAAATATGTGCTTTTTAACTTGGATCGGTTATTCAAAAGTTTGTATGAGAAATAATTCATTGTTCAGTATTTGTAAACAGATGAAAACCTAAAAATTAAAATTAAAAACGATTCTGTACTATTTTGTTTTGTAGTCTCCAGTGAATTATTTATACCATTTATGTTTGTGATAAGAGAATTTAGAGCTTCCTGTTTTTGTGACAAGTAAAGACATGTTTTATGTAGGTACCTACACAATATAATACTGATAAGGTTTAAAAATATGTTCTATATTTTTTTGAATAAACGAGGTCATGGTTTTCGGTAGATATCTATTTTGATGTAGGTAATGAAAAACTGGTTGAGTGATAAGCTGAACAACGTACCAATTTGTACGGTAATAAAATAGCGAATATATTTGCAATAACAAAGTAAAACAGAACCTTAGCAAAAGTCTGTAGAAGCCTCACTCACACACTTCAATACGGAAACAAATCATCATAAAACACGCTAAACCTTAAAAGGCGTGTCCCGAACGATGTGAAATATTGCTTCTAAAGTTGCCATTAAACTTAATACACTCACATGATCACTCATCAACAGTTTAGGACCTAACACAATACGAGTGAAGCCGTAAAACATAACATTGTATTGCAACGACCATCTCCTGGAGGTGTTGAGAGAGGCGCGTGAAATATTCAATTATTGTGCGCAGGCACAGGGCGCGGGGAGACAGGCCGCCATCTTGATTTACGATCGAGTGTAAATCCTGAGTGACATTTGTGAGTGAAGACGACCAAGACGACTTGTGAACCTTCGTCTCTTGAGTATACGAATATGACACGATTTTCAGGAAAAACTTCTGTGGTCGCTTTCTATTGCCGTCTCCAACACATTGTTGTTTGATGGTGCAGGTTTGAAGCAGCAGTGGAAGGAAGGTAATGGGAATGTGTTGTCGCTGCTTCAATCCGATCATGAGTTCTCAATATTGTATGGAACGCCCAAAGAGCATAAATATAAAACGTTATGCGCCTGTCGCGACATGTGAACATCGCTCGTCAGAGCTCTCACAGCTTTCGGGGACGTAAAGGAACTTAATTTATATCGCTGTAAATGATGTCAGGTTGATTTTTTAAACATTTCTATTATTAAGGATAAAAAATCATGGGATGGAGGGACTACAAGACTAAACCAAAACAAAATTGTCCAAAAATGTTTGTACGAAGCAGCACCGCAAGTAGCATTATCATTATATAATGTTTGACAGCCGTTGAAATGAATTCTGATCCAACATCACTTCAAATTCAATTTCATGACAATTAAATCTACTATCACATCCAAGTAACATACACCAGTACAAACCAAATCAGGCTGGCTATAAACTTATCGTACATAATATACCGGCAGCTATAGATACGATGTAACTCGACACCATCGTGTGTGAACTACCATTAGTTGTGACGGGCTCATCACAACAGTGCATCGATAATGTGACGAAATTGAAGTGGACAGGCGCGGACTGGCCCAGTGGCGTGATTCGGAAATTAACATTCTTTTTGTTTGAGTATCATGATCGGAGAAAAAATTGATCTTTTTATCTTATATCTTACAAAAGGAAAAGAAATATAATCTTGTGGATATGAAAAGGAAGAGAACGATTGTCAAGATGGAAATGATGAATAGATAAAGCTTCTATTAATGAAAGTCTTTTTTATGAGTCATCAGTCAGGTCACCTGATGGTAAGTAATTGGGAATCAGGGATTGGGGAAGTACAGAGGGGTAAATGGGCCTTGACTCCTACATTGACCTTTAATTTAATCGAATCAATAATAACTACTGTAGCTGACTAAAAGCAGCTTCCGGAGATACGATAAATTATAATCCTAAAATGATGAAAATCAGAGAGAACACTTTTAAAAATAAACTGATTAAAGTTCTTCTAGACAGTATATTTATAAACAGAACTCCAATATGAATGAACTTTAAAATTTGAATTACAACACATTTTGATATTTCGAAATCAGTAATTTGATGATAATGCGCTATGTCGAAAGAGAGTACCTTCATACTTTGATAAATTGTTCAGATAATTAGGGGCGGCCATAAACGGCATGACCAGAGTGTAACCAAATCATTTTATGTGGCGGTCATCACTGTGTTACGGTTGATTCTCGGTTTTGAAATCCTCTTTTTTGTTTGTCTTCACTTTGATCATATGGCTTATGCCAAGGTTTAGTTTATTTAAGTTCTAGTTCATTCATCCAGGTCCAGTTTCTTTCATTTCTTCCGTTCATTTGAAAATTGTGAAGGTCAGTTTATAGACTGGTGCTTGTAAATTAAAATATACATGAATGTTTACTACAATAATAACGGATAATAGATACAGAAGAGTGTATTGAAACATGTCTGATGATCTTCCTTAGTAGAAATGTAAGTTATTGATAAAATTAGGTGAATCCCTAGTGTAGACCTTGGAAAAAAACACAAGGTGCAAATAATCAAAAATGAATCAAATTAGAATTCTTAGAAAATATTAAAAACTGACCTCAGCAACAGTTTAATACTGAGAA